ACAAGTATCGATTTTTTAAACCAGTGCAGTGGTATGTAGTGGTAAGTTAAAAATAATTATTTTGATTTATATGATGAAAAATAAATGTAATTCTATTTTTTTCATGATACACTACTAAACTGTGCGAGACCGAAATATATTAAAATAAAAAGCTACTGCATCGGATCGGATACGGTTGTTAATTCTTATCTTCGACATAAAATAGTTTCAGAAGCAACTGATAACTCCCGTACGGGTTGGTATCTGAAACGAACGTGCAAATGATTGATCAAATGTTGGGCAAACGTGATGTCGTTTTTCTGTGATATTGATGTGACCCCAAGCTGACAATCTACATGTGGCTATTTACTACTGTAGCCGTAATTGCATACAACTTCATTCAATACACAAATATATAAATATATCTATGTTATTCTCTTGTAAGCAAATAGTCAAAAGAGGAATATATACTCTGCATATTATTAATATATACTCTGTATATTAAATTGTCCTATTCTTATTACAGGCGATTTAAGGATAGGCTACTATCCATAATTATATAGTAAGACTTTTAATCAATAAATTTTTAATTGACTTTATTGTAATGGGAGAACATTGTTACTAAACGTATGTACATATATTATGTATTATATATAGTCTTTGATTACTAATTTGCGGATTGATATGGAATGATACAAAGCAGAGAGTATCTAATAATCCATTAATGTACTGTATTTATAATAAATTAGCTCTGGAGTTTTGACTTTAACTTGATTGCCAGCGGATTATTGTTTGAGCTGAAATTTGATAGTGTATTATAGTTAAGTTTTTAAGTTATTAAGTTTTAGCAGAGGACCCTGTGTTATAAAGATTTAAAAAAAATACAAAATAATGGTTGGTCAAGTTTTATAGAATTTTTGTTTCTTATTAAATAGATTTGTAGAATAAACACAATATTAAGTATCGTTAAATTGCAAAAATTCTTTCAATATCCACTAATGACATATTTGAACTGCTTTTTAATATTAATTACAATTCAAAAACATTGAAAGTAAAAAACGTCCTGATATTACAACTACTTAACTCATTTTATTTAAAATCCTTCTTAAACGCAATAAATAGTTTCAGTTATGTGTTTGTTAAGCTAAATACGTAAGCAGTAAATGACATAATATCAAGCCTTTGGGAGTTTTTTTACCTTTCTTATTACCAATGTTCATTACAAATGTTCATTTCCATCCAATATTTGATGAAAAATTGGTGCGAAACGCCCGCAGCGCGCATTTTTCGATTTTCGCGCCGCAATGCGATAAGGCCGATTCCTTCGTTATCGCACTCGACGTTATCGCCTGCTTGTAGCTACCAACATTTTTTTTTTTCAATGAATAACCATACGGGGTAAAAATCCTTTATATTCGGAAATAACTACCTACTTCTCATATTCTAGTAAAACTCATTTCAGTAAATGATATAAAATTTAAACGAAATAACTAAATGTGTAATGTATATTTATATTTATTAACAATTTATTTATTTCTTTACACTGTAATACACAAAGTATGTATGTGTACATACGGCGTATTTAATGCCAAAGAGCATTTCAACTATTAGGCTAAACAGAAATAAACATAAAAGAAAGATGCAATCACTTATAGGTATAATATTTATATACTATATCATTTTAGTATTCTTATTTTGAAACAAGTTCTGATCTACTTTTTTATTTAATAATATTTTATCTATTGTAATTATTATGATGTTGAAGATAAGGAAACGTTATCGATAATTACAAAGCCGTGTCTTGTAATCTCTTGACAGTTATTACATGTAATAAAAATGTAATTACATATAATCGATTGATAACGATATTTGATAATACTATTATGTTTTGCCTCTGTGTACGCGATACTTCATTCATTTCATGTACACCCACGTAATACATTTTCATTTTGACTTTAATATATTCCAGAACTATTTCGTGAAATAAAATAGAAAATTTGTTTTATTGGTAGGTTCAATTACGTACATTTTAATAACAACATAAGTCTGTTACGTGGTGGAGCCATGCTGCAGCTATATTATGGTTGTAGCACGAATGGGTCGACTCTACCGGGGAAGGACCACGCTCTCACAGAATACCAGCCTAAAATAGCAGCTTAACACTGCTGTGCTTCGTATGGTGAGTGTAGTACTGGATTCATCACGGGTGTCAACGCATTTGCATTTTGATTCGTAATGGAGGATAGATATAGACGTCTATGGGACACAGCAACCACTTACGAACAGGTGGACTGTGTGCTCGTTTGTCACTCATCTCCTATAAAAAAAAGTTTGGATATGAACACACACGCAGAGGTAGGTGAGTTTGAACGTTCTCGGCATAAAGCCTTTTAGCTATTGAAGTATAATACGTACGTACGTTCTTGTAGGTAATACATTTTACTTCAATGCTTTTAGCATTCTTTGCCAGTCAAGTCAGTTTAGTATGTACTGCCAATTGACCAATATAATTTAACAATCCGTAACCTGTACCTATACTGGTAATGTAGCTCCCAGTCGGTAGCATTAATGGTCGGCACTTTTACATGGATATTTTTTCATCTGCCACGGGAGTCTTGGCGAACAAGTAAGGGAATATAATAATAATATTCTCCAGACCAAATTTCAGCCAAGTCGAATAATTTAAATGGAGACTAGCCATATGCGCTGGTGATATACGAGTAGCTACAGCTTGGCTCTACCACGTAAGGACCCCCTTATACCGGAACGTAGCCGTGTAAGGACTGTTATTTAGCAGCAGAAATAAGTAAACGAGTGTAACCTTTGTGCAAATTTAATAAAAATGACTTACATCTAAGTTATCTTTAAAATTACTTACGATAAATAGAATTCAATTCAAATCGGTGTGTAATTCTTACCAATTCAGGTCTCTTCGTGTTTTCCTTTTAATAGATACTAATTAGACGTGTGTTTATTTAAATATGCACCTTATACGGTAATAAGTGTTTGGGAATTGATACAAGCGAATTCTCCCTAAGCAATTCGTTGGCGCCTTAATACCAACGTTTACATTCAAACGATCTATGTCAGTATCTGTACAGACAATAAAACCCTGTCAATGTTTACCTCTACACTCCATGGTTCCTGATTAGATCGATTGTTTTTATTTTAAGTTAATTGACTATTAGAGATCATATTACGAATGTGTTGTTTTGAGTATTAGATTACTAGACATATTTTTTGGGGGAAATTTTCACCTCCGTGTTCAGTGATGATATCTGTGATAGGTAACTGTCTATTGCTAAACCAAAAGGAATGGAACAAAATACGACGTTCAAATTTTAACAAAAAATAAAACTCTAATTTAGTTAGTCTAGATAAATAAAGTAACATATTTAAGTTTGATAAGGAATTCTAATCCTTGTTCTAATCGATAGAATGCGATAGGCACGCCCGCTAAGGGGCTTTCTAATGACCAATTTGTGACGGCCATTTTGTTTCAACGCCCGTGCGCCCACCCGAATATTTCAATTGTAATCGATAAAAAAATCAATTTTCGAATATAAAATTTCATTTCTAAATATTTCACTACATTATCGAACCGATCTACTCCCGTTAAAAGTTATTAAAGTCACCGACGTGATCTACTGTTTGTCGATCGTAAACATTGAATTATTTTTAATGCCCGAATTTGTTTATATCTTAGTGGTTTGATCAAAATAGTTAACGTATTATACAAATCAGGTCGCCGTTAATTTGTGTACGTCGCTAATGATTAATAAAACTAGAGAAAACAATGTCTTTTTCTTCGATATATTATAATAAATAAAAGAGATGTATGAAAAAAATGGTATAAGGTGTACTGGGGTAATTCCGACGGGAATTTTTACGAGATGACTAGAGGTCTATATTTCGGTTAGTTAGGTAAAGTAACTTCATATTTACTGACAATAGTATGCGACTTCTGTTAACTTAATGAAAATATTTAATCTATGGATATATTAGATTCATAACTATGTAGTTGGATTCACTAAATAGAGCATTTTGAATTATTGAGTTATAAGTTTTTGGTATAGGGGAAATTACGAACTATCTTGGGGTTATTCCAAAATTATTCAAAACTTTATTTTATTGTACTTTGACCGAAGGCTTACATTTCTTTTTCAATCGTATTTAACCCTTACACAAAATATCATGAATTTTAGTAATAGTATCGCTAATATCATTTTTTATGGTCTTGTATTTCGGAATTACCCCTAGAAGAGATTGTGGTTCTCAACATTTCAATTAAGTTTTTTTGTTTATTCTCAGTAATTGTCACCCAGTTTATTGCCAGTAATTTTATTTCCACTGGTGACAAACGAGAAAAATGTCACAGTTGTCATCGAAGTTGCCGTAGAAGTGAGTTGACAATAATTGATAGTTCTGACAGATCTCTGTGCGGAATAGAACAAGTAGTATAAATGATTATATATTTTAATAATGTCGTTATGTTTTAATAATTTAAATTATTATTATAAATTAATATTATTATTTTAATCCTGATAAAAATGAATAAAATGACTGCGGATTATTAAAAATTTGTACATTACCAAAGAGACAAACATGTTGCTTTTAGCAGGGGTTAATGCTCTTATGAAATTTAACGGTCAATTAAGATGAGCTGAAACTGTAGATACTTGAAGAAATAAAGCATAGGTAGAGATTTTTATAAAGATACCTTTTATTCAGTGCTTTTTGCAAAATAAAATAAACTTTCTACATATATTATTGTCTTACACTTAAATCAATCATCCTTAAAAATGTTAACTCAAAGTAGGAACTTACGGTCACAACCACCATTTTCATTTTCTTTTGGTATAAAGTACTTAAGCACTAACCTTATCAAATAAAAAAACTTTGCTGCTAGCAAAACTAAAATTATAAAATGCTTCAATTTTTTTTAAATATAACAAAATTGGTTAGGACATTGTAAAAACATCGCATCTATATAATAATGATATAAAATCACTGTTACATAATCAGTCAAAGTAAATTGTATCTTCATAATTAAGTAAGTAATATTCTTTTTCGTTATATTTTTTTAAATCTATCTTCTTCACTATTAATGACTTTGGAACTTTATCAATATCCTTTCTTTTAGTCGTTATAAAGGTAAGGCGCTGCTGTGGTCTCACGGTTTTTAGAAAATTGATAGTGAAGTATATTTCTTCATTTTTTATTATATTTTCTATGAACCCCACAAAATACTTCCATTTATTCCTTATCAAATATCTGACGAGTACTGAATCATTTAGTTGGTAATTTTCCTTCATAGCAAGGTTCTCTTCTTGAGTCTCGCATATTATTTCTTTACTTTCCTGTTTAAGTAGCAGTTGCTCATCTTTGTCCTTTTCTTTCAAGAATTCTCTAGTTGTCATATTTTTTTCTTTAGTAAAAACATCAATATCACATTCGTAATTTCTTTCAATGAGTCTTTCCTCTTTATTTTCTTCGACTTTTTCTTCCACTTTGTTTTCTTTCCCTTTACTTCTTTTGCCTACACCTTTACCCTTAATACAGAGAGGATTTAAATTCTTGTTAGTGAGAAAACCATTTTCAGAGTATTCATCCGTCAATTCTTCAAAATCAACACATTCAATAGTATCAGAATCACTATGTTCGCTCATAATGTCGGATACACTAGTTATGCTGTCAAGTGAAGGCTGGCGTTTTCGTTTCTTCTTATTCCTTATGCCTGAAGGGCCTGGATGATATTCTTGTTGCTGTGCTGTAAATATTGTTATTTCAGAATCTTCCTTATTTTTTACTTTTGCTGTTCTTTTTTTGTAAATTTTACTGGGGTTTGCTTTCGCTTTCTTAGCTTTTACCGTTTCTTCTAAAATTTTCTTACCCATTGTTGCTGTTATCACTTCAGCACCTTTAGTGACACGTTTCTTTTTTGTCGGTTTATTATCTTTTTTGTCCTGTTGTATTTTTCTTAAAAGCAGTTCTTCGAATGTGCATGATGGCTCGGGTAGTCGTTGAGCTTGAAGTAACTGTGGAGATGCTTTTTTGATGATAACGTTCGAGATTATTTTTATTTTTGATAAATTTTGAGTTGATGTTTGATTAGAATTCTGTAAACATATAGGTATTTGGGATGGTTGTTTTGCGACAAAACTCAAAGTCTGGATATCAGGTTTCGATACCAGAGACAACAAGGTATCCTTATCAGTGTTTGACGATTTCTGTAAACATGCAGGTAGTTGGGTTGGCTGTCCGGCCACAAAACTCAAAGTTTGGATACTGGACTTTGAAATTTGCGACAGCAAGGTAACGTCATCGGTATTTGCATTTTCAAAAGCATCATTTGTTGTTGCAAGTTGATTGTTAAACAAGCCAATACAAATTTCTTGTAGTGACTTCGGATTTTTTGGTGTCGGTTGTGTGGAAGCTAAATGTTTTTCTAATGTCTTTTTTTGGTACCTTTTATATGCATCTGGATCATATTTGTCCACAGGTATCACGTGCGCATTGAAAGGGAAAATCCCAGCTTTTCTAAATCCACTTTTGATAATATTGGGGTTTGTTTCTCTCCAAGTATCTGCCAGCGCTTGAGCGAAAACTTTTTTTGGCATTTTCGTGCCAACATTTCTACGCTGCCACTCTACCAGTTTGGCATCCCATATTGACTTGAATGACTTGAATACTGCTATATCAAGAGGCTGCAGCAAATGTGATGTGTGTGGCGGTAGTTTAAGAATTGTGATACGGTTTCGTATTGCCAGTTCCACAACTCTTACATGGACGTGAGTTGAGTGACCATCATAAACAATAAGAACCGGGCGCTCCTCGCCCAAACTTGGGATAAGAACTTTTTCTATATAATTATAGAAAATGTCTGTTTCCATCCACCCTTTAGTACTGGCTGCATACGATAATTCGAAATCGTAATCACCACCAACCAGTTCAGCCATCCACTGATCCCAAACAAATTTGCCTTTAAATACAATCAAAGGCGGCAACTTCTTGCCATTAGCGCTTGCGCCTGTCAACATAGTGATATTTTCTTTTCCACTCCCATGGGTGGACCTCGCACAAGGTTTATTTATTTGTCCACATACTTTAGTTCTGGATGGATCCAGGCATAACGACGTTTCATCTAAGTTCCAAATGAGTTGAGGACTTTCAAAAAGATCCAAATCTTTTAAAGTATTTTCGAGTAAATTGAAATATTCACCAATGACGAATGGATCTGTCATTTTTCTTCTTACAAATTCTACAGGCTGTGCTTTTTTAATTGATAATCTATGTCGTTTCCGGAAATTAATGAACCAGTCTGTGCCTGGGACATTATTTTTAAATGGTGTTTGAATCTTATTCACCCGCACATATTCAGCGACAAGCTCCATAATTTCAAACCTAGACAGACCATATCCCCATTTTTCCATAATTCTGACAGTTTCTGCTAATTTTTTCTCATCTTCTAGGCGTATAACGGTTGGTCTACCTGCATTTGGTCTGGTAGTTTCTTTACCTTTTTTTAAGTTTTCATGAAGAGTCGTCATTGGAATTTTGTACTCTTGCGCTGCTCTATATTGCGTAAGTTCTCCATTTTTTACCTTTGCGATCGCTTGAGCTAAATCTTGTGGAGTGTATAATTTAATTTTCTTTCTTATGTAAGTCCGAGGCATAATGGCTCTGAAAAAGAAATAAGTACCTACTTACTTAACATATACGTCACACCTGTATTTCCCGAAGGATTGGGAATACATTAATTTTAAATTACAATGTTATTTAAAACAGAAACTTTAAAATAAGTTAAAACGGCCTTCAAAAAGAACGCAATATGTGTGAAACAGTTTAGGAAGTAGATGCTCGAAGTTGATTTTTCGATTTGGTTTATTGGGTAACGAATTTCGAAACTGCCTCACACACATTATTGTGTTCTTTTTGAAGACGGTATTAACTTTTTTATTTTTCAATTTGGAGTGACTTACACATACCACTTTTTGCTGTTAATTAATTCATAAGCGAAGTAAATTAAATGTCGTTTATTGAAGCTTATTAACCCATTTGTTGCAGTTATTTTTAAAAACAATTCAACCAAAATTATTAAAATATGGAACAACGTCCGTTTCCTCTACCAATTAAAAAAAGAACAATTAAAATCGGTTCATAATCGCCGAAGAAATCGAGTAAAATACACACAAAACAGATATACAGTCGAATTAGAAAACCCTCCTTCTTTTTGAGGTCGGTTAATAAGTAATGATTAGTAATATAGAATCATTATCTACAATAAACCCAAGTTTTCCAACAAACTTCGAAATAATAATAAAATTTTGCATACTTCATGTAATGTCATGCAAATCATCTGATCGTACAGATTGAGAATCACTGTCAATTTCTATGGAAAAACTAAGTGGGGTTATTGCGGAATGGTTATACATCGGAATCACCCCAGAGGGGTATGTACGAAAAAAATAGTGAAAACACAGCTAGTACGTTGTTTTCCTGTCACGAATTCGCTAAAAACTATAACGTATCGCAAAAACAAGCACTTATTGAAATAACTTACCAGAATTCCGGGATAAATATGTTGGGGTTATTGCGAATCAACAAAAATGGCGCGAAAAACACCCTTTTGACAAAACTTAATGCTACGCACGTTATGTTGACACTAGCTTCTCACGACGACTGATGCGGCGAGGATAATCAATATGGCGTCTAAACCAATGTTGCCAATAGGAAAATATTGCTACGATTAGTAGAATCTTTGAATTTTCGGAATATACCCTTTTTCGGAATTACCCCAGTGCACCTTACGCATAATATTAATATAAAAATACATTGCGTTTAAGGGTTCATCACCGTAAAGTCACGGTGTACCTAAGTAAATACACTGCCCCATATAATTTGCCTCATAGGTAGGGGGAGGGAATATTTACCACAGTTGCCACGCTTGGCAGCCGGCTTGGCGTTAGATAGACGCTGCCGCCCATCTCTTATTTCAGTTTTCCTCTGTAGTCCGTAACGACGTCCACGGGACGATATGGGATAGTAGATATTCTTATGGTCGCCACACACGGTCAGTTTAACTGATCATTCCAACTGATCAGTTCAAACTAAAACTGTTGATGTTTTTTTTTAAATTTTGGATTTCGATATATCGATTAATTAACTTATAGATAAAACTCCGATATTGATATATTTATAATTATCGATATATCGAAAATACAAAAATTAAAAAATTAGCAACAGTTTTAGTTTGAACTGATCAGTTGGAATGATCAGTTGAATGGACCGTGTGTGGAGTCCATTACACTGCCTACACGATTTACCACACATCATACAAACAATACACAAGATAAATGTCCAGAGAAAGAAAACGTTCAAAAGATCTCGTGGTGTTTGATAGAGTAGCAGTATGAGTAGTTACCATGTACCCACAGACCACCTATCTGGGTGGTCTGTGCATGTGTCAAATGATTTGCAAATATTTACCAAATGTATAATAACCAGATCTAGCAGAAAGACGTCTGAAACAGTGTTTGCGAATCTACTTAACAAGTGTGACGGTTACAACGAATGCTCTGTACTGATGTCCATATCTAGCAGAGAACTGTTTACGGGTTTCTATGTAGTAAGACATTTACTTGATCACTTGCTATGCAGTCGGATTCCTTTTCTCCTTATTTTCTGCCTAAGACTACGTCTGGACAAGTGCCCGCTTCTTACCTCTACAATAGAAAAAATAGGAAAACCCCCCCGTCTTAATTATTATTGCCTCTTAGCAGTGAGTGTTCCACTGTGTCCTGTCTAAATAAAGAGCCAGTATAATAAGAGAAGGAGAAGAGGCTGCAAAGTATTCCATCTTAGTCCTTAAGAGTTGATAAAGCATCTGTAGCTTTGATTGTTGGAAGCTACAGGTATTCATAAGCAACCAGCCAGCGAACTGAAAAAACCACTAACCATCAGCTGGACTGTAATGTCTTTTGTCAGTACAATTTTATACAAAACAAACAAAAACCTTTCATTCTGCACATTAACATGCTTAAAAAAATCTTTTACTGAACTTTAACTGGATTTTTTATGGATGTATGCAAACGACACAGTTTTGGAATTTAAAATAATATCCGAACGGTTTCTAAACAACAGGAATGTAGAGGGTCCTCGAATCGAGAGGGAAACGCGAAGTAGTGACGCGTGCGGTAACGATGTACTCATTACTGGTTTGGAGTGGGTTTGATTCAATTAGGTATTTCCTGGACATAGTTAAACATCTTTGCACGTGGTCTTTATCGATACACTTACTTACCAGATAGAGGATATGTATAATATCTACTACCCTATATCGTTAAGATGTGACGGAGGGAAATCCCAGAATTATATAAATACCAAATGGGCAACAGCGTCTTCCTAAGAACAAATTAAAAAACACTGCAGTTGCCTGCCAAACGTGGCAACTATAGCAAATAGGGGAATACCCTTTAAAGTAATCTTTGTGTGAGGCCTCTCTTCAGCGGTGAACTAAAACAATACTAGTAAATATGCGTTAAATTTCAAAGCAATTTCACACATCTGTCTATTTCAGATATTGTATATAAGGCTTTCCTCGTCGGAGATGCTTATAAACATAATTTACGGCGTTAAATTGTGAAACGTAAATATTAAATATTTTAGCTATCCGTTTAGCTAGCTTCCTCGTTTTATTTAATGTTCGCTATCGTTTCGACGTAAATATGAGTCTTTAGTTCCATTGCGTGGCTAAGATAGCCACGTCATTGATATTTTATGTTTGGATTGAATAAATACCATATTAATATATTTCGACTTTTATGCTCCCGAGACTGCCGCGTACGTCTAATGGTTGTAAACATAATTCTGAACATGTCATAGCTGGTTGAAATCCCGGGTCGGGCCAAAAATAGTTATTGAGTTTTTCTGTCAATAAATGCTCAGACACAGCCCGAAGATTAGAACCCCATTGCCTCGTAAAGCACGTAAAGCCATTGATCCGCGTGGTGTTGGATTGCCTTCCCATCTAACTATGAGAATAAGGAATAAATACCAATACCACCCACGATATTTTATCTTTTAGTCGTAAGACAAGTATTAGTAGACTCAGGTTCCCTTAATATTTTTTCTTATATATAGTCGAATACTTTTTAATTATATAATTTTTGTTTAAAGTTAATTTTAAATTACTACCGTTTATTTTCAATTTAGATTCGATATTAAGTATAACTTAAAAATGTAGACCTCAGTTCGGGATACCGGAGTACTAATATATTTATACGTGGTAGAGCCGCTGCAGCTATATTATGGTTGTAGCATGAATGGGTCGGCTCGACCGGAGAAGGACCACGCTCTCACAGAATACCAGTGAAAAATAGCAGCTTAAAACTGCTGTGCTTCGTATGGTGAGTGTAGAGATCCGGAGACCTTTTTTACTGGAAACGACGCATCTGCATTTTGATTCTTCATCGAGGATAAATGTACATGTCTATGGGCCACAGCATCCACTTACCATTAGGTTGACTGTGCGCTCGTGTGCCACCATTATTCTATAAAAAAAAACAGATCGACACACAGTACGCAGATACAGACTACAAACTTATAATGTTTTCAATGGGTGTTCAAAAGGTTTGTTATAATATTAAAGTATTGATAATTATCGCCGAATATGAGGTAATCGCCACCATTCTGTTTTAATGCATAATTTATTTGGACTATATTGTAAATATTGAAAAATTTGAGTTAGATTTAGATCTCTCACAGAATACCAGCGAAAAATACCAGCTTAAAACTGCTGTGCTTCGTATGGTGAGTGTAGAGATCCGGAGACCTTTTTTACTGGAAACGAGGCATTCCATCTCAGTCATTAAGGGTGACAACGCATCTGCATTTTGATTCTTAATCAAGTTTAAATGCCACTTCACACACACATCGTCCACTTACCATCAGGTGGGCTGTGTGCTCGTTTGTCACCCTTCTCCTATAAAAAATACTAAAAAGATATTGAAATATACGAATACAATTAAATTGAAAGTTTTGTTAGCAATACAATCTTCATAGCAATGATTTTTTTTAAATGAGATGCCTTTGACGTCGACACCGACCGGTTAAATAGATCAAGTTAATTTCTTATTAAAGTTAAACAAAGCTAAGGTCCCACTGCAAGCCCAATTGGAGCTATTTACGATACGAGTTTATTGCTTTTTACTAAATGATTGTTTTTTTACAATTATAATTTTATATAGTTTTTTTCGCTAAAATTCACTAAAAATTGTAATCAAAATTTTTATGGCGTGGACTGTGATCGCTCGCGTTCATTTCGTTACACAATATTGTTGTACCTGGTTGACCGCTTTGCTCGGTATTTTTTTAATCGTGTGGAATTTATGTTTAAATACTAATTACATACTGATGAAATATGAATAATATTTTTTGATCTTACCGACATACTTAATAAAAAAAATTGAAAAGATTATTTGAATAAAAAATCATGAATGCAATTAGTTTAATTGAAACTTTCGTGTTTTAAAAAAAATACTAAAAATAAAGGGTAAAAATAATAGATTTTCTCAAAAAAGAGTGGAACTGGAAAAAAAAATAAAAAAGTCGGACTAAAGACAAGACTCGAACCAGGGTACTACGATTTCGTGACCGCTCGATATCAAAATTTCAT